ATGGGAGCAAATTCAGTCTGGGGCTAAAGGCAGTATCTCAGCTGCCCTCATGCCCCATGCATATTTCGACATTATTGTGGGGGACTTCTGGGTTGTCAATCCTTTTTAAAAAAAAAAAGGGTATCTCCAAAGTAGGGCAGCAGCAGAACTGTGCAATCACAGGGAATATCACCCCCTCCTTCACGTCTGTCTAATCGATTGAGGGGCAGACAAGCACAGTCTTCTACATAGCTAAGATCAAGTATGATGATTCCAAACAAACAGTTTCAGATTTTCCCTGGGGTAACAGTGAAAATCCCAAACCAAATTAATTGAAAACACTGCATGGTAAAATGTGGAGTGGATTTGTATCTTCCCTCTTTTATGTCCTCTGCTTGTTTGGTTTGAGGTCAAACTCAAGTGTTTGGTGGGAGGAGGAATAGCGATCGTAGCTGAACAGAGGCGGCAGCTGGCAGCAAATAGAGCAAACAGTCCACCTTTCCCCACAAGCAACAGGGAAAACGAACACCAGCGGAGAGCGGGGCATGCAGACATGGCCAGCTGGTGGGCTGGCATTGCTCCTGAGCCACGTTCCAACGCAGCAGATGACCTTTTCCAGAGCCTGCAAAGCTGGTGGGAAATCCACCTGCAGCCTGGGGCTGGGGGGCAGGAGGAATTTCAGAGCAGTGTCTGATTCCCAGCATGGCCACAACATCTAGTGTCAGATGACAGAGGTTTGTCTTTTATTTTTAAATTCGAAGCTGGAGACCCCCTCAGGCCCAGAGACAACCAGCCCCGCCTGGCCCCTGAGAAAGCATCTCAGGCAGTGAATCCATCGTGTAGCTGCTGTCATCCCGCTCTGCCTCCTCCTCCTCCCCCGGGATCTGTCAGCGTTTACAATCAACAGTTGCTAAGGCCAGGCGCGGGGCTGACAGCTCTGCCGCGTGTGGAGCCTTCTCCCTGCTCGCAGGGAAAGGCGCGTTTGAAAGGCAAAGCCACAGATCGCTGCAGCTTGGGCTTCCCTCACGCCTGGCCAGCCACGGCCAGCAGCCACCTTCCCTGCTGTCACCCGGTCCCAGGCCCTCCAGCTCTGACAGCTCTGGGGAACGCTCCGCCGCACGGGGAGAAACCAGGCCGGCTTGGAGGACTAACTTCAGCAGCGTCCCTGCCCGCCGCCCGGGATGAGCCGTGCTCTCACGGCTGGCCCAGCGTCTGCCCAAGCCCCTTCCTCACAACTGGGATCCCCGTCCCAGAGCAACAGGTGCCTGCAGGGCGCCTCGGCCGCCGTCCCTGTGGTCCCACGCGAGGAGGCTGTGGTTCTCCTCCAGGTTTAGGGAGCGGCGCCGGACCCTGCAGCAGCAACGCCACGAACCGGGCCAGGCTGGGCCTTTGGGCCGGAGCCTTGCAGCGGCGCCACCTCCTCCCCTGCCCCTTCCAAACGCCTCCCGGCACCCCGAAGCCGCAGCCTGT